GATCTGAATTAAATTTGGCACTGAGATAGATATTAGATATCATTTTGTTAAGGATTTAATATAAAATAACACAATTTGTGTACAATATGTTGAAATTGGCGAACAACCATCTGATATGTTCACAAAAGCTTTATATAGAAATTTGTTTGAATTTATTTTAAAGAAGTGCGGAATATGTTTACAATAGGTAGAATTGAAGTTACTGTTAAGTTGAAGAAAAGTTTAAGTTAAAGTTATTTTAAAGATAAAGGAGTAAGCAAGAAAAAAAACTTAAAGAGTTTAGTTAAAGTAAGAGCAAGTTTTTTTGTTAAAGTTGTATGTTATTTAATTGAGAGGGGGTGTTGTAATATGAATTAAAAAAACATACTACTAAATACAACACTACTATTACCAAGTTAGTTTATGTTGTTGCCAACATATATTAAAAAAGGTAATAGAGTAAAAACTGTCATGGCTGTAATGTGTCTGTAACAAGTAACGTGTGTAATAAAGCAAGATAATTACAACATCTTTTATTCAAATCTCAACAATTATGGTCAATTGGTACATAAGACTATTTTTAACACGCTTTTATTAGCTTCACCTGTATTTTATATTTTATTACCTATACCTTATTTAATATTATTAGGTACTTAAAAACAAACTTATATTTGCGGTTGTACAAGAGCATGATGTATGCGTTTTGACTGCAATGTTAACTTTGTTTTTTGTTTGTGTACTAAATGTATATCAAATTGATTAATATTATAAATAAATTTTAATAATGTATTGCTCTGTAAGACTATAGCTGTATATTAGATTGCTGATCACGGAATAGAAAATACAGTGGAAGTGCCGTTCAGACATCGCGCGCTAACCAACATCATGACTAGATATACAACATTTTGGCACATTTGTTGTCAGAATCGTTCGATCCGTTGTCATGATTGGTTGTCATGGTTGTCTCTAAGAAACACGAAATATATTAGAAATTATGCCTTGTTGTGCGGTTTTCAACTGCAAATAAGTAAGCAGAAAAAAAGATGAGTCTTGTGGTGGTGTATCGTATCATCTTTGAGTATTAACCTTTGTTAATTTTAAATATATTTGATTTTAATGTAAATATCACATTTCATTACTTCAATGCAAACTATAAAGGGCCTTATTTTCATTACAATTAAGTTTAAATCTACTTGTTCGTTATGTGACGTTATATACAATACATTCTAGTAGTTTCGACGCTACTCATTTAGGGATGCGACATATTCGTAAAATAGGTTCATATCGATAATTTTTCATCATCGTTCGGAAAATTGATTTTTGACAATTTTTGTGTATAATTCATAAATGTTTAACTAAGATTGCATAGACACATCAACGTTTTAACCACACACGGCGTGCATCCGTCTGTGGCAGGTGCGGGTGGTTAATCACCATTTTTATTTTATAACTAGTTTTCGCCCGCGTGCTGTGTTGATAAAAAGCAGCAAATAGCAATAGAACAAAATCTAAGTATACATAAAATTTGGTATTTATCGTCTCATTTTTATGGGTACATCTCCAATGGGTAAATACTCTATTACTTACTAAGTCTCCGTAGTCCGTCCGTCCATAGATAGAAAGGCACGGATCTAACTAATAGGTAAGAGTTACAAATATTTGATAAAACCTATATTATATTATATTTTATACCGCATCGTGTCGAGCACGGCAACCGCTACACAAAAATAATTCTTATACCATGATTCAGTGTTCACTTGCGACGGCGCTATGTCTTATTATCCGAATTGCTAAGCTATCAGGAGTTACACGTGTTATTGTGAGTTAACCATAAAAGATAGACATATGCTGTAAAACATTTTATTTAGACAATTTTATTTAAAATATTTCCGTCATACATAATTTCTATGTAAGTTTAACCATTAAGGTTACACACGCGACTGAAACTTACAAAAGGGAGTAACTTCTCCCGTTTTCCCAACATTTTCCTTCACTGCTCTGCTCCTATTATTTGTAGCGTGATGAAAAGTATCCTATAACCTGCCCAGGAGTATAAAGAATAATTGTACCAAGTTTTGTTAAAATCCGTCGAGTAGTTTTTGTTTCTATAAAGAACATACAGACAGACAGAGACAAAATTTTTACTGATTGCATTTTTGGCATCAGTATCGATCACTAATCACCCCCTGGTAGTTATTTTGAAAATATATTTAATGTACAGAATTGACCCCTCTACAGATTTATTATAAGTATAGATGTTGTACATGATTTTTATCAGAGTTCCAAAAAGGAGAGTGACTCTCAATTCGACTGTAACATTTTTTTTTTTTTCGTCTCCGTTATTTATGGAAAGGAGATAAAACTTGTAGGAGCGCGTAGTGCTTTTATATGTTAAAATCGAAATCTTTAATAATAACTTGACCATCTCCAAAAAACATTAAATCTTCAAAAAATATTTTTCTTTTTTTTTATTAGAACCTTTTTCATTACTGATCATTTGTAGGTATATCGTGTCGATAAATTATATTGCTCACACGAATACAAAAACATCGATATATTGGGATACCCTGCCCTATCTGAGTAGCAAAATAGTAAATGTCTATTGGTACAAGTGCATACAAATATGACATCTATTTCAAAGAAGTTAGCGTTTTGAATAGAATGAATTTGTTACAGTGCCATCTAGCGTTGAGTGGCTGAACCCGTTTGTAAATTGTTTTATTTAAGTTTTTTACACGATAGGCGCCTTTATTGATTGTGACATGTGAAATGATAACAACTTTCGCTCATTGTTATAAGACTCAATTTTTAACAACATTTAAAAGATGATTTGCTAAAGTTGCGTTTCATCTTTTTACCCAATTATATAGCTGTTTTTTATGTGTGTAATGGACAATTTGATTTGCGAATGTGTGATTTTGGCGACACTGGTTTTCCGTTTGAAAGAGTGTAGGGGCACTTCTACTTAATTTTCTGTTCTGTGTTGCTGATGGTCACTGCAGCATGTATGTAGAGATTCTAGAACCGTCTGCTGTAATATGCTAATTATAACATCAACTAAAATTGCTATTTTATGAATTTAAATTTGGAATTAAGTGTGGGAGAGCCATGCTTCGGCACGAATTGGTCGGCTCGACCGGAGTGAGTGTGGCCGTGGACACAGAAAACCGGCGTGAAACAACCACAGCGTTGTGTTTCGCCGTGTGAGTGAGGTTACCGGAGGCCCAATCCTTCCCCTCCCCCAATCTCTCCTCAATCCCTAAATCTACAAATCCCTAATCTCTAAAAGGTCGGCAACGCACTCGTAACTCTTCCGTTGGGGGTGTCCATGGGTGGCGCTGATTGCTTACCATCAGGTAATCCGTATGCTCGTGTGCCCACCTATTACATAAAAAAAAAATTACAATATTCAATATCTGTAAGCTGTACGGTTAGTAAATTTTTACTCAATTTTAAATTCACCCAATCCAATATAAGGTGAGAAACGTGCCGATGGATGAATGGCAAGAGGGTGATTAAACATGTCATGTCACTAGCATCAACCTCAGGGCACCGGGCACACCCTGTTGTATAAAAGCCTTACCCTTCTATCGGACCTCTGGGAGGGCTGACCGTTTAATTGTCCAATACTCGTGGGAACAAAAATGAAAAATGAAACTAAAACACAAAGAAAGAGGAGATTGGAGAAAAAAAGACAGAAAAGAATGGAAAAAAATTTACAACTCTCAACTGATGAACTGATCGAGAGAAAACAAAAAAGGCGATTGTATATGAAAAATTATCGAGCCTTACAATCGGAAAAAGATAGAGCTGCTCGCTTAGCGCACATGCGGCAACAGAATGCTGAGCTTCGAGCTTCAGAATCAAAAGAACACAGGGCTGCTCGATTGGAGCACATGCGGCAACATAATGCAGAGCTTCGAGCTTCAGAATCAAAAAAACACAGGGCTGCTCGATTGGAGCACATGCGGCAACATAATGCTGAGCTTCGAGCTTCAGAATCAAAAGAACACAGGGCTGCTCGATTGGAGCACACACGGCAACATAATGCTGAGCTTCGAGCTTCAGAATCAAAAAAACAAAGGGCTGCTCGATTGGAGCACATGCGGCAACATAATGCTGAGCTTCGAGCTTCAGAATCAAGAGAACACAGGGCTGCTCGATTGGAGCACATGCGACAACACAATGCTGAGCTTCGAGCTTCAGAATCAAAAGAACACAGGGCTGCTCGCAAGATTACTGGTGGCGTATCGAATTTCAACGTCGGGGTAGTTCGCATCTCCATATGGTCATATGGGTAGAGAATCATCCAGAGTTTGATACAGAGGAAGGAAAACTTCTTATTGATCGAAACTGTTCCTGTAAAATGGTTACAGTGGAAAAGAAGATCCAGAACTGTATGAGCTAGTTAAGAAATGTCAAATTCATCGACATACTGAAACTTGTACAAAAAATAATACTTCTGTAAGATGTAGATTTAACTTTCCACGGCAAGAATGCAATGAGACTCGGATAGTTTCTCATTAATCAGATGATTTTATTCGTAATGGAGGAAGGATTTGCTTACTGAAGCGACGAAAAGAACATCAAGACATCCAGATTTGTTGAAACTGTGGGAAGGGAATATGGACATTCAGCCATGCGGTTCAAATGAGGCGATAGCGTACTATATTGCAAAATACCTATCAAAAGCAGAACCTGAAGGTGTAGATACTGGAATAGCACAAGCAGTTTAACAAATACAACGTGAAGAGTCTGACATTCCACGCAAACTCTTTCGTATTTGTATGAAAATTCTTCATGAACGCCAAGTATCAGCTGCTGAATGTGCGTATCGCCTATGTCATCTCCCGTTACGTGATAGTTCACGAAGTTGTGTTTTCCTCAACACCAGAAAGCCAGAACAGCATTATAGAGTATTGCAATTTGACAACACGGGTCACGCCACTGGCTGCTGTAGTAATATCTTTGAAAGATAAGAAAAACGTCCCTTGGATCATTCTGATTATGAGTTTTCTAACATGAGTCTTACGGAATTCGCGATGTTATTCGAACCATTCTATGACAAGAAAATAAATGAAACAGAAGAAAGTGCTGATCATGATGGTTACGAAGTTCAGTCGAATGTACGTTGCCGACTAATTACGCTATTAGATACAGTAAAATGGCTGTGAGGAATGTTTCTGCAGTTGTAAGAGTGCCATACTTCGTAGCATCATCTGATCCAGAAAACTTTTTCTACAGCTTACTACTTCAATATATCGATCGGAAACTGAATTACTTGAAGGATTTGATAATGCAAAAGATGCGTTTTTAGCTCGAGAAAATCAACTGAGAGCAATGAGTAAACATATGCAGCAATATCGAGAACGTGATCAACAGCTTGAAAATGCATTTAATCAAGTCCATGCATTTGATCTTTTGGAGCAGCCAGAAATACTGAATCTTGAAAGCGAAGAAGAAAAATTGCCTGAAATAAATATGAGTAATGAAGAATTCCAAAGAGCACAACAAGCTATGAATATTGGTCAAAGGCAACTCTTCATTTTCATAACCGAGAATATAAAAAAACAACTTAATGGCGATCAAACTCGTGAAAGAATTTTCGTATCTGGTGGAGCGGGAACTGGGAAAACTTTCCTGTTTAATTTGCTGAAAAATCAAGTAAATTGGAGTTATGGAAAATCTGCAGTGAAAGTTGGTGCTCTCACTGGAGTACGGCACGATTAGTCGGTGGATCTACACTTAATCGTCTACTAAAATTACCTGTGCAGAAAAATGGGGTCATTGTTACTATGCCTCTTCTAACAGGTAATTATTTAAGAGTAATGTGGCAACAATGGCAACACGTTGAATTTCTCTTCATAGACGAAATTTCTATGGTACCTTATGAAATGCTTTGTATGATTGACTCTCGTTTGCGACAACTTAAAAATCCAAACATGTTTTGGGGGATTAAATGTTTTATTATTTGGTGACTTAATGCAACTACCCCCAGCACGAGGACATCAAGTTTTTCAACAACCAGAGCATATGAAACCAGCTACACATTTATGGCGGCTCTTTAAGCTGGTTGAATTGAAACAAAACATGCGTCAACAAGGAGACACAACATTCATTGATATACTGAATGCTTTAAGAGTTGGTGAATTAACAACACGGCATCTTTAAATACTTCTCGAAAAAGTTTTGACAGACGCTAACAACGAATTTTCAATTGAGAAAGCGTTAAGCATATACCCAACGAATGATCAAGTAACTAAGCACAATTATAAAGTTCTTCGGTACTTTGTGACAAAAGGCACAAGTATTTATACAATAAAGGCACGAGATCAACTTATTGATGCTACACGAAATTTAAGTGATTAAAATTTGGAATCTGTTATACCTGATGATATTAACAAGACGGGAGGTCTTCCTAAAATTAAAAAATTTTTGTGAGGGCTAAAGTTATGTTGAGATCAAATATTGACGTGACAAAAGGTTTAGTAAATGGCACTATGGGTATTATCACTGAAATGATCTGGCCAAATTTCCGACGAGATCAAGTATATGATTCAGATATACCATCAGTCCGTATCGACTTTGGTCAGGATGGTTTACAACTAATTAAGCCAATATCGATATATAGTAGTTTCCAGCAAAATATAGCTATGGTACTGCTGAAAGGCGAATGTTGCCAATAATCCTGAGTTGGGCATCTACTTTGCACAAAATGCAAGGTAGCACCCCACGCTTTTCAACTTTATTTGAATTTTTGTGAATATACATATACTGTCTAAAATTATCTTATTCTGAATAAATTACGATGATTGATTGTTGAATTTGATATTGCAGTAACTCAAACTCTCTTAAACAAATATTATTTTCTACTTTTTAGTTCGATTGCTATTAAAGCGTGTTCTTTAGTTTTTTAAACTAATATTTATTATACTAGCCACTTACCATGTAGGCAATGGCAATAAGAATTATTACATGGAAATCTATAACAAGAATTAATCGATAAAAATGGTCAAAAAGGACCAAAAAGCTCTTTAAATGACAAATTATATCAGACAGCCACATTATAAACCCGATCTGGAGATTATGCAAAACCTCCCATGTAGAGGAACCTCATAGTCCAACAACGGACTGTTATAGACTGTGATAGTACTTACTTAATTATTATATGTCACGTAATTGTTTTTTCGAGTAAGCCAAAAACACAATAATTAATTTAGAAGTTAGCTCACGAAAGTTATAATAAAAGTATGATACTTACTGTAGCATATTTGCAGGTCCAGAGTCCAGTGCTAGTGGTGGAGCTGAACCTGGACAGAATAGAAGGCACACAGCTCCGCGCGCTGGGCCTGCTCGCCGTGTACGGGTTCAACGTGACGTACGAGGTGCGGGCGGCCGCGCAGGCGCCGGGGCCCACCTCCTGCAGCGCCATCGAGTGCCGCCTGCTGGGACACTGCTATGCCAGCCATGATTATCGGTGAGTACTGGAAATATTTATCTTCTCTTTTGTTGTAGTTCAAGTTAAATTTAGAGATCAGCACATTAAAGCTATCTCTTTTATTCTGTGCTTGTAGATCTCTTTACACAAAATCCGTTTTCGCTCATAACATTCCTCACACTACATTATTAAGTCGCCCTTATCCTTTCCAACGACTGTAAAATTAAAAACTACAACTAGGTAGTGGAAGGTACTTAATATGTTTCATTGGTAAATTTACAAAAATAAAACGATTTATAAAATAAATAATTAACAGATAGGACAGAATATTAATGATGTTAACTATTTTTAAAAGAAATGTTTCTCATATCACAGGGAGTTTTACTGTTCGTGTTTCGATGGTTACTCCGGCGCGGACTGCGGAGTGGGTCCGCTGTGTCCCACGACCTCCAACATGTGTAAAAATGGCGGCACTTGCAGGTAAGTTCAAAAATTACTCTTCTGAATGTCTTCCAAACCTGAATGTTATCAGTCATTGGACGCGCAATAAAAGGGGAAATCAGGAGAAAAAATATTGCTAGTCTGAGGCCAATTCCAAATAAGTTTTAAACATGGATTTTTACAGTAGCAATATTCATATAATAAATGTTATTTTAAGTATGAAGGAAATGCCTACTATTTTATTCAATAACAAGAGTGTATCGGCAGACAGATGGGTCCGGCCGCCGTCAGCTGTATCTGCGCGCCCGGCTACACAGGGGACCTGTGCGAGGCCCAGGTAGCGCCGCCTGGTGAGATGCATACTTTATATCATTCTAATATTATTGCACTTTTGACATCAGCTCATCATACACATTTGGCAGAGACCAGGCAACAGGGTTCTTTGATAAACTTGAATCTTTGGAACTGTGATCTTTCTTCCAGCTGCCAAGCGTAATTATAGCAAACCTATATTGAAGACTCCCGCTGTCAGCATTGTATATGATGATGATTACTAGAACACAAACATTCTGTCAAATTCCTTCAATCAATTGCTGACTGTATAACGAAATAATACAGTTGAAAATGCAACATATACACTTTTATTAATAGACTGCTGTATTTAGACCTGTAAGCGTAATCGCTTACAGGTCTAAATCATCACAAAAGCTTTTAAAACCCACTTTTATCAAATTACGCTAGTTTTTTATTTAAGTCTTTTTCAGAAACGTAATGAAACATTATTTAGTTCGTTATAAGTGGAATAACGACTTGTTGTACTGGTACGCGTTTGGTAGCAGTCGTCCAATTAATTAAAGCTGTTACTGGAAGCTAATACTTTTAAGGAGGTGGTGTACTAAATAACGATCCACTAAATACTGTAATTAACTTTAATGTTTTTGTTGCAGAATGTGGTATAGAAGAATGTGCAGAAGTTTGTAAAGACGGGACAGCTTGTGATTGTAACCCTAAGGACACAGACGCGTGTGAGTATTTTATTTGTTATATAGTATTTCCATCTGTTGTTGTAATTTTAATGGCTAATTTTATGGAAGTGCAAGAGTAAATTCGTAAATATATTATGACCGCAACAAATTTGACCTTACCTCCACAGCGTAGTGCACATATTTACCAAGTTCCTTGACAAGTTTTTGTTTAATTTTACCTGTCCGGATGTTAGTATATTTTTCATTATAACTTTCTATTTTAATTTGACCCACTGTCTGGTATTTACATCTGTTAAATATTTCTTTTTGTATAGTATCAGCGCGTTTCGAAACAAGACTACAAGTAGTGGGTCTACCAAATGAAAACATATCGGATGAAATTGCGAAACAGGTAAATTATTGTAATAATAACAAAATTCTAATGGAAAGAATAACTTGGTAAACATTGATGTTCATTTGTTACAGCTAACACAATTTTTGAAGGCATCAAATATTACTTTAGAAGATGATGTACAAGTGTTGAATACAAGGTGAGTCTCTTTTTGCAATTTCTGAGACAGATTCTAAACAGTATTTAAATTATGTAAATGAAAAAATCTGTAAACTAAATTACCTGAGTCATCATAATTGTTTATTCTTTCTTATTTTGTATGACAGTGTAACAACTAAAGAAGGTATAAGGGATGCTTGGGTGCGAGTGTGGAGTTCTAGGCGCGAGGCACCAGCATTACGGGCAGCACTGGCACGTCTCGCTTCTGCACGTACTCGTCTCCTACCTACCACCACGCATTTTGAAATGCATCCAGCGCTGAGTTTGCACGTGAGTACAGTTACCAAATGTTTAATGACTCTTTTAGTGGCTATATTGTATTTAATCTGTAACTATATAAGTTAGTGTTACTGTTCACCAACTTTCCACTTGGTATGTTCATGTATGGCAGCAGTAAGTAGAACCCGATTCGATATGATCATAATCCTAGATTTGGTTGGATCACATAGGTAGCAGTTATAATATTGTATAGCTGAAAACATTTTTTTTAATTAGTATAGATTTTACTCACACTGAAGTTATCTGGAAATCGCTATGAACACTTACATTCATAACGACACCATCTCTTACAGCGAAATCAAGAGGAAACATGAGCGCTTAAGGTGATTGGGAAAATCTCAGCTTGATTAAATTCTTAAGTACATATCGACAATCAATGAAAAAGTACCTACTTAGTGTAACGAGATTTCTGTTACTTGGTTGTTTGGAAATAACTTCACTTATAATCAGTCAATACTAAAGAAAGAAAATAGCGTGTAATTGGTCAATGCATTAATAGAAGATTTAATTAAATTTTTGTTTTTTCTGATTTCTTCTGTGTCGTACGTCAGCCGCAAATTGTCAATTTCTGGATCAGTGTTAAACATAATATTAGAAGATAATACGCACAGTTATTTCGCGCAAGATTCGAATCCGCGATGTCCTGACAGCAGCCAGTCAACCGACTGCACTAGCAATGCAGACATGTCACATATTTGAAGAAAAATAAATAACTTCGAAACGTTTAATACCGCCTTTTTTTAAAGTTGGCGTCAGTCCAGAACACATGCTACTAAGTAATTCTTGTTAACTCGTTATCCTGGCCTAAATATCATCCTTGTCTCTATACACCATCACCACTACTAGGTAGCACTAGGTAAATAACACATAGGTAGCAAAAAGTCCAAAATACGTAAAGGCAAATTTATGCTGATATTTAGATGGTCATATTATTCAACTTACAGAAACTGGTTGTGAACCAACGTCCTGAAGTATGGGAGGGGTCAGAATTCATACTAACTTGTATGGCATATGGATCTCCAAACATGGCCTTTACGTGGTACAAAGACAGCGTCAAAATAAATTTCAACGGTACCACAAGGTAAGTGAGCACAACATTCTTAAACCAAATTAACTTTAACGTAGAAAAATTTCAGACCAGGCTTAAAAACTCGATCTACACCATAATAGTCGCAAAGAGTAAATGAGCCTTTTCACTCTCGACACGAAATGGCCACCCATCCAATTACCGGTGACTGTTAGTTAACCGCACCGATTAATCGCCCAACTTCCAACGTACCGCTCTGATGGCTTATTTTGCAGTTGAACATAAGAATATTCTGCTTATTTTTATGTAAAGTCTTAACTAATGTTTCCTCGGTACTGCAATAATCATAAGTATGCATACTGTTAGAGATAAAGTGTGTAAATAACTAGAGAAAAATCTGGTTTTAGGGACATTTGGACACGAACAGTGTCAGAAGACGCACTCGGTCGTCGAATGTCAGTACTAGGTGTAACAGAGGCGGAGAGATTAGATAGTGGGAAGTGGTCCTGTGCTGCAGACGATGCTGGCAGGAGACGCTGCAGAGCGTTGAGACTGACAGTGCTGAGACCTCCTGAGATACGCTTGGTGCCGTCTACCTTAACTGTTAATAGAGTAAGTCCAAGCAAACTGGGCTAGTAATAATTTAAACATATTACATGAAAACTAAGTTTTAATCTTATCAGGGTGATAATGTAACAATAACCTGTCTGGCGGGAGCTGGACGGGTGCATGGTGCTCTCGGATTCAGTTGGGCAAGAGAGAGAACACTGCTTCCCATGGCACCAGGTGGCACCAGGTAGAGAGGTCTGGGAGGATCTTTTCCCAGCAGGCAGTGTGCTGAAGCTTTACAATGTACAGGTAAGATATACTAATTACGTCAGGCAATGCAGATGTACCTATGTGCTACTTCAAATTTTTTTTATTTTATTTGATCTCTTTGTATAGAAATCCAGTGAGTTCCGATGTCAAGTGTCATCAGTGGCTGGCACCAATGCCAAAGCTGTCACTATGTGGGCTCTCGGTAGTGGTGACGCGGCGTGTGAGAGTGACGCCTCTCACGGCTTGCGCTGGCCAAAAACAGCTCCTGGAGCACACGCGACTGCATCTTGTCCACCGGGACACAGCGGGGAAACTACCAGGTTGCCAAAATAAGTCACTATACCAATACAATATAAAGTCTCTAGTTGCATGATGTTTTTTTATCTTTATTTCATTGTAAATCTTTTTTAAGGTTTTGTGAGCCAAAGACTGGAGATCACGGTGTTAAATGGAGATTACCAGATTTTTCCGGATGTGTCGCGGACTCATTGAGGGATATTTATGAACAGGTAGTAAATCATACATACACTTACAATATAAGATGAGTTCTTTGTAGACAAAGATGTGAGTTATAATGTTGTCATCAGTTCACCCTGATATCGATGGGCTACTCGTGGGGCTCGGTGTCGCACGTGTCGCGGCAGTACGGAGCCGTGCTGCGCTCGCTGCCGACACACCCGGGCGAGGGCGAGCCCCCCCTCACACACGCAGTACACATGCTCAACTACCTCATGTCTCCTGCCGCCCAGCCGCCCGATAGGTACAACAGTACGGAACACCTGCTCAACATTTACGACAACCTGCTCAAACATCCCGATGCTTTTTTGGATGAGGAAGTAAGTAACTAATTAACTTAAATAAATAAAAAATAGGCTATTACCGAACTAGTCTAAAATTACTGTATCATTTTTAGAAAATTTTCGATCTTCAAAATGCTGTGGTGGATACTGCAGGCCTGAGAAGTAGCTTCAATAAGCGTTACCACGAGTTCACGGTTATGTCAAAACCAGTTCTTGAAGACAATGCGGCACACTTTGACCTTCAGCCAGCATTAGCGGAGAGAGAAGAGTGGGCTGTGTCGTCAGCGGGAGTTGAACTCGTTACGAAAACTGAGAATGCGTCTGTGGTTACCGCTCTTTATCACGACTTGGGAGCAAGGTTGCCTTCACTAAAGAGATTCGTCGAGTATAAGTAAGACTTGTTCAGATACAATACAATTATTATAGATTTTTTTATGGTTTTATTTTTCTGCCTAAGTGATTTTAGTTGTTATTTCAATATAATGTATTTACTAAATCAGATAAAATGTTACTTTTTCCTGTGTTGAATCTTGATGTATTTTTATTTTTATGGTTTTTATTATTATTATTTTCTTACGTTTTTACTTTTATTTTCCCCATCGCGGCAGTTGTAGCAGCAACTCTTCCAGGTCTGGTCGTGCGACACAGTACACAATAGCATCGCAACAAATACAGCTTTCCGTCAGTGGCGCAGGAGTTGACAATACTCTCCTTCATACTGTGACCTTGCTGTTTACACACTCGAAGAACTACAGCGCCATCGGTGAGTAGACAATTTAGTGAATAATCAAAACTTTGTCCTTGGATATTTTGATAGAGTTTTGCTACCCCAGGTCCTCAGCTAGCGTGCGGGAGTCGGTCGCGGTCCTCGCCGCGCGTGTGGAGCACTCACACATGTGAGCTACGTGTACAAGAGCAGACTTACATCGCCTGCCGCTGTCGAGGAATTGCGACCATCGCGTTATTTACCGTCGATAGTTTGGGTCTCGTGAGTACTAACTAGCACCTGGTAATACATAACCTTAATATCGTTGACTGGCTTGATAATTTAAAACAGCAGTGATTCTTCCAGACGGATGCTGAGAGCGACTCGCGAGCTATTGTGAAGATCACAGTTAGCCTGGGCAGTGCGATGTGTCTCGTGGCTGCACTGTTACAACTCCTTAGCCTCGTAGTGGGAAGTAAAACGAGACTGCCAGTACTACTCAGAGCTGCTACTGCCGCTACACATTCTGCAGCTATGTTAACGCTTCTTGAATGTGATACGAAGCAGGTGAGTTAGAACCGCGGCCTTACTAGAAAGAGTTTCAAGTCCGAACTGAGAATGAACAAATGTACTATTGTTTCATTAGACATCTGCGTGTGTCGGGCCTCTGGGTTGGGCAGTAGCGGCGTGCTGGTGCGCGGGATGTGCCGCTTTATGTGCACAACCATTGCTACTACACACTGAGTTGGCGGCCACAGCCACTCGAGCGCCATCTGTGGGGCTATTGGCAGGTACGTGCAATGACGTATTATATATAGACACGTCATGAACCAACATCGCGGCGCTTAAAAACGGCGAAAATACAAGATAACTACTTCTACGACTAAAGAAAGGGAAAGCAAATATGACATCGTATAGTGGAATGCCTTTGCTAGAGGGAGATAAATATACGTCTTCAGTTATGCCGACGTCACGTGACTATACCTTCATGCGCCGGCCGCCATAAGATGGCGGGCGCCGGCGTCGAAAAAAATAAAATAAAAATAGGTTGTTTGGTGAACTTACGCATGAAATGACACATTTTTGTCTTTAACTTTTGGAGTATAATTTGTACATCGTCTGAACACACACGACGACATGCTTTCTTTATGTTTCGCACAGGTTTACACACGATATAAATTAAAAACAAACGTAGCGTCGCGCGGGAGGTTGGTGCGTGACTAAGCGCGATGTTGTCAAATTGCCTTCATTTCATGTTGCCATTTTAGAGCGCGGACAACGTATCTATAGATTTATACATCATTGGGTACGTGAGAAGATACTAACACGGTGGACAATGTAGAAGGATTGTATTCACGTAGTGGGTTGGTTGCAGGTGTGAGCACTTTGTGCTGGCTGACAGCTCGATTGTGGGGCGGAGCGCCATTGCAGCTAGGTGCGGCTGCCAATGCGGTCTGTGGAGCAGGCGCTGCACTACTAGCCGCGCTTACACTCTGTCTCGCACTCTGCGCTGCCAGGACACTGCGAACAGTAAGCACATCTTACACCCTGCATTCTTCTGCATGAAAAAATGACTAAGAAACCATAACAAATTATTGTCCCTAAGTTACGTCTCAGGTCACCCAAAAGCTGCCGCCCGACAGACGCGAGTATGTGCGGGAACGTGCGCGAGTGGTGCGCCATACATTAGTGCTACTCTTCACTACTATAGCGACACAGATTGCAGGGGTAGCTTACGCGCAGCCTGGGGAGAGGACTATACTTAAAGTTGTAGCGCTTTCTGTCGCTGCATTAGCCAATGTAAGGACCATACAGAGTACGGACTATATGTGAAACAAGCCAATAATTACTCTTCTGTACCAATGCCGTTTCTTGCGTGTGCAGGGTCTAGCAATGTTGATATGCTACGTGATCTGTGACGAGGAGTGTTTACGAGCAGCTCGGCGGTTACTCACGCTCTCCTCAAACAATGAATGGCACGATTCCCCTGAAGGAGACACATCACTTAGTTGTTAGTATCTTAACATATCTTCTTTTGCAAGTAACCAAAGTATTATAAGATCAGTTTTACAATAATTGTTGACGTTGTAGTGTACATAAGACAAGGGCGTGAGATGGAGTGTCGCGGCGCGGTGGGCTCGCTGGAGTGCTCCTCGTCGCACGTGTCGCCCGCCAACACGTACTGGCGCGCCACGCCGCTGCAGAGCCCCTTGCACCGGTGAGCTAGTGTGACGTCACTGTGCAGTATCTGCTACATCTGTCAGGCAATGTATAATGTAGTTGTGTGATCAGGCGCGGGTCGAGCGGCGCGTGTGTGGCGGACATAGTGCGCTGCGTGGAGTACAAGCAGGCATTACTACCACCGCGCAATGTCCACACACGGACACTCTGCGACCTCATACCTATTGGTAATATTCAAACACTTTTCCACCTAAAGAGTAACGGAATGCAATATATGTTTTGAAAAACCTTGTATCATATCTCTGTCAGGCGGTGCAGAGCCTCGTGTGTCCCGGGTATGTGTGGAACTAGGAGTGCTACCTGAAGCGTCACAAACTACCGTCACGGACCCCAGTACTTTCCAGCCGTCTAGCGATACAAGCGACATATCAAAGGTAAATTAATATTTGGTATGTTGTTATATAGGAAGACTTAGACTGGTTTAAAGTATGTATAATGTTACCAGGCCAACTGCACGCTGTGTGCAAAGTCCACTCCAGACGTTTCAGCAACGAGCACAGCTCCGCGTCCAATCAAGAGTTGTCTAAAGAAGCGTTCGCCTCAGCTGTCGTGGAGCACATCGTTACCGTCCATAAACCATGAGAGCGACGAGAGCAATTCCCACCTACAGCTAGTGGACACACAGTCCCAAACCCCGAGCACGCACACCACATTCACACAGACAGACAAAGTGCTGCACAAAATATCCCACGACCTGGACTTCCTGCTCAACAGGACGCCCAGTCGCGTCGCGGACAACTGTCCGCAGCAGATAGAGGAAGCACCCACTTAGTGCACGGAGATGTAAGGCTTAGTTCTAAGTTGTAAGTAAACTGATGACTGATGGAGGCAGGGAGCAACATTACATTAATTGTGTACATACTCTGCTGTAAATATAGTATTCATTCTAATTCTGTGATTGTATTATAATAGGAAAAAGTATAAATTATTTTTAGTTAAATGGAAATATAGAGGGAGTATAAGCTGTTTGAAAGTGTTTTTATCACAACAATAAGAGATTTTGTCTTAAAACAAACATCAAAGGTTTTGAGTTTGTGAATGTTAGATTTATCCAGGAACAAAATATATACGTATGTACGAAATACAACTGAATTAGAAAATTTATTTCTTGTTTGTTAAGAAACGCCAGTCGTTTCTGTTTCATTTCACATTGAATAATGTTATTTCAAAATATTGTGATTAATGAATTACAAAGATACACGAGGATAATCGGATACAATCCCGTCATATTAAATATAAATTTTGATATATTTTTAACATGTTGTTTTAATTCAATTGAAAAACCTATTCCCTATCTATAGAACTGTTGTCAGTGATTGATATGAAATAAAAATATGAAGAGATGTTAAGTAAGTTGGTGCGAGGAGTGGGAGTGTCAGACTCCTCCTGACTAACACTACTCCGTGCCTTCTCCTGCTAAAGGCGGATGTCGCGGTACATTATTGTACCGCGACCAACTATACAATGTATATATTGCAAAGTAGTGCCGATATTACCGGTAAGTATGCAATTTGTTAAAGTTTTTTATTAAGTGGAAATTTACTATATAAACAGCGTCTTTTAACATAGGAATTGAATTCCAAATCCCAACTAAATTTAAAAACGTCGAGGTGAACTTGTCAGTTAGTTTATATTTTGTATTTTCATTCCATAAAAGCATGTGGTAGAAACTAGTCTCGTGATAACCACAGCGAGGGTTGTATGGAGATAGTGAACACATGTTGAGCTGATGGATTCAACTAGTTTACTGGTTCATTTGTATTTGTCACTGATATAAAGCTGGTTTACAGGGCTAGAGATAAAAAAGTAATGTGGACCTATTTTCTACCACTGCCTGAAATGGGATAACTTTTTACCAAATACTTTAAAATAATAAAAAGGACAAAACAATCTGTCAAACAAAACTACAATAATAGCTGAGGACAATTGTAATGACCCTGTGAGTGCTGTTGCTTCAAAGCATACTTAATATTTGATATTGTTTATTTCTGTAAGATCGTTAAAAATCTGCATTATTTAACTTCACACAGATTTATGTATAAAATTTAATAAAATTTTGGAAAAAATATTAAAAGCCCATACTTGTGAAATATCCTCATTGCCTGTAAAGGACATAATCGTGTCTTCAATACACAAGTGAAACTCATTGGAAATGCAAGTTATAACTCACAGGTCTCAAGTGAGTAGGTACCTAATAATATTGAACATTGGTTCACGCGCGTGTCCCGGGGCCAGACGTGATCGGCTTGGTGACGACACTAGATGTCTCACTACTATCTAAGTATCTGTAATGCTCAATGAATATTGTGTTAGTATGAATTTTATGAATGTACTTTCCAATTGGAAGAGTATATCTTACTTCAATGATTTACTTCGTTTGATTAGATTAGTAAGAAAGTTAGTACAGTCACACTCAGCTCCCGTGAGTGCTGTACTTTTGGTTAAGTAATTGTAAGTAGAAAACCGTCGTCGGCGTTTGTTTTCAGTTATCAAACAACACAACTTTCATATATGTACCTAATATGTTAATCATCAAACGGGTATTATAGACAGTATTTATTGTCATTTAAAACATTTTTTAATAATAATACGATGTGAAAAAATTCAAAAAGAATAGGTTTAAAAACATTATTTCCCGCCTCAGTCTTTTATTTACAATTTTAGTTAAAACATGTTAGGCTAAACCCACTGTAGTCACCTTGTTTGGACATTTTCTCAGGCTATCAAGAAGGTTAATAACGGTCCTAAACAGAATAATGTAGGTCTAGCTTATCAACATCGATCACTAATGTTCTTTATTAGTGATCGATGCTTATCAAGGATAAAGATCTCTTTTTTGTGAGGGGAAAATCATCAAATGACTTCTCCCGCCCAGGGCCGGGCGAGAGGGAGTGTCAGACTCTGACTGACTAAAATCTCCCTGTTCCTTCTCCTGCTCTGGGCCGAGGTCGCTTTGCCTCATTATTAATGCAGGTAGGTACAAGTTATAATTAATAGTTTTCCCGTGAAATAGTATAGTATAATACGAGTTTGTTTTCACACAATTTGAAGCATAAATTTATCTTCTAGCATGTAGTACAATATATGTTTGATATAAGTAAGTACAATGTATCTAATGTTTCATGTATTACAACATAAACTACTCAGAACAAAAAACTTGTCGTATCTTTGTGTGAATTGTTTGTTTAACCTTACTATACCAACATTATTTGTAAACACTCAGCTTCGAACAGTCTTCTAGTTAGCTCCACAATATTAGCACTTATCTTTAATGTTATAGAACAGAGAATGGTGTGTATCTTATTAAAAGCAATTTAGTTTAATCACACAATGACAAAAAAGTTGAATTACCTACCTAGTATATATAGTTGTAGATTTGAAGGAAATTACTCGAAAATTAAATCTGGTACAGTACAGTAGGGTGCAGGTAAATGAAGCGAGGTCCATTCCGCTTGGGAAATTAATTTAAATCACTTCAGCCATATTATGAAGTACAATTCTGAACATGCAAAGTTCCGAATGACTAAATGTTTTTTGTAATAAATCGTCTGTGAATTGGTATTGGAAAATGATTTAATATTTACCACCTGCAATTCTAGTTTAATATAATAAAAGTTCTCATTAGTTGTGAAGTACATTCTACATTGCAATTCACTGCCCAGTTTCTGTTATTATACACGTTACATGATAAGGTGATTGCACCTTGTTACAATGTTGCAATACTCGTGCATTTGGGAGTACTTATAATAGGTAGTATGAACTCTTTCAAAAGTACTGATGACGTCACGTGTTGCAGAAAGATAATCTGTAATTGAAGTTAAACCTATAAGTGTGGCAGAGTTCGAGTACAGCGCACCCTGAAAAAACCGAGTCACTAAACTAACTGATCGCATACAAAAAGTGAAAATAGCTGATATTTGTTTGAAGACTTATTCGAGCAAACAGCAGACACAAAAGTTTATGCATACGTATTAGTGTCACACTAGAAACATTTCTCTAGTAATGCAGCTATAGAAATGACCTTTTGATAATTAAATTAAATCCTGACTTTGAAGTTAAGTGAATTATTCGGTTGAAGCCCATCATCTAAGAGTACCTTACAGCCTACTTACATCAATACAGCATTACGTATTGTTAACAACTAAAATCTGTTATCACTAGTTGATACTAATGTCAGCCTAGTTATTGCGTATTGATGTGATAAGTTCCGTCGTTAGTTTGACGCATTACCCGCGCATTTAGATAGTAATTACCCAGACTCGTGCAGTTAACACTGGCATTTAACTATTTTATCGCCCAAATGTGTTGCAGTACTCGTGTTATAGTCAATTATGTTGTCTCATTGTCACTTTAATGGTGACAGTTATTTCACGCAAGTATTCCAACTGTGAAGAAGGTATATCTTCTGGAAGTTGCTTATTATGTATTTTTATTGGTGCTTAATAAATAATTATGTAAGCAGGTTCACATATACCAATTTATCAAGTTACCTTATAAATATCCCACTTGCCACACACGAGATTTATAATTTTCTACTTATAAGTTTGAAATCGGAAATTGGCCCAGGGCAAGTTATTAATTAATACTCATTGATTCTCAACTGGATTTATTTAGTTTTGATCTGGAACTCGGACCAAACCTTCAGGCGACGTTATGCATTATGCAACATTTACTGCTGTTCCTCGGAAGGCTGGTAACATTATTAAGGTCCTCCCCTATATATACGCAATGTACTTTATCAGTATACGAGTTACTATTCGTATTCTAGTTAATATGTGACGTAAAATATTGTAGTGCGACTATTAGATACATAATCTTAAAGACAATAAATAATGATTTGCTTTGTTAATAATTGAATCAGTCCATTAGTTATATTCGTCTAGCTTATAGTGTGGGAGAGCCACGGCACGAATGGATCGGCTCGACCGAAGTGATACCACGGCCTCACAGAATACCGGCGTGAAACAACCCACAACGTTGTGTTTCGCCGTGTGAGTGAGGTAACCGGAGGTCCAATCCCTCCCCCTCTTCTATCCCCTCCCGATCCTTATATCCCCAACCCCTATCCCCAAAAGGCCGGCAACGCACTCGTAACTCCTTTAGTGTTGCGGGTGTCCATGAGCGGTGCCGATTGCTTACCATCAGATAATCCGCCTGCTCGTTTGCCGACTTACACCATAAAAATAAATTGAATTTTTTTTAAAAGTAAATTCATTAATTGCATTATATTTATTACTTACTCCTTGAACTTAAACGCGCAACTTTGCTCAAAACTATGAGCTTTTAGAGTGGCTTTATAAGTTGCTTCTCGCCAAATAATTACGTGATTTGAAACACTCTTCTCAAAACCTTTGAACATCTTTTATTTTAAGGCTTGACTTAAGTGAAGGCTTGGTAAAAGTTTACCTAGATAGCGTTTATCTTACTTCGTGCTACTGCGAGTCGTACAAACAATTACGTGGCTTGATGTGACGCTGCATCTTAATGTAATATAGTGTAATAATCTTAACACTAAGAACTGGCTGATTTATTTGCAAAGGTTTTTTAACCCGTTCATATATGAGGGGCCCAGGATCAGGAATTATTGTTTTTTTCACTAAATTTGAACAGTAGTGACATAAAAAGCCCTCCAGTAACCTCATTCAAGTGCTGTTTCAAGTCGTTTAACTCTGAGGCCGTGAGGCTTTCACGCTGAGATAAACAAAGACACAGAAATAATGTAGTTTTGCAGTATACAGGGTATGTTCAATTGTTCGTATCCGTATATTGTATTTCCCTTACAATATTTCGCTTCAAAGCGCCATTAAACGGTATCAGTTAAATTCAAATGTGCGGCTTTTTAGCAATATAATTGTAGCACGTTCCCCTCACTGTTACAACTGATATTGGCCACTGGGTAGGCAGGATAAGTGACGATTATTGAATGTTGCCCTGACCAATAATCGCACATGGAATGAGTGTAAAGTTAATAATAATGTAATTTTTCAAATTTA